TAGTCCGGACATCACCTCACCTTGGACGCTACAAAGTGATGGACTACAGTGAAGAGACAGAGACACAAGAGCCTTGGAGAAGGTAACTGTCCTAGAGGGGGAGGCAGTTTGGAGGCTACTCTTTGTCTTGTGGCAGGTTGACTGTTACTATCATCTTCCTCAGAACAGGCAGTGAGTATACCCAATGCCACTGCTTGTTTTTCTGCTTTAATGTGGCTATTTAAAGAAGGCTCCTAGTCAGTTTCAACTGAATCGTTCTGCTCCTGTCTCTGCATTTGAAGGGTTTCTCCTAGTTTTCTACTTTTTTCCTATTGTTAAGGACACTTGCTGGCTAGGAAGCTAACACATATCAGACTTAGGCATCAGACTATTTGGGGAATAAAACTTATAAAAAAAAATACTGCCTGTCTTGTAAATAGGGAGAGTTCAGTTTGAAGAGGCACTTTTTTATTATAGGGAATTTGTAACAACTTGCTCTTCAATCTGTGTGGATGTACAACGTGCCATTAAAATAGCAGAAAGGAGCATTCTAGTTTGAAGACATGAGGAAGGTGCTATGAGAGACCTTAGCAAAGACGCAGTTTTACATAGAAGAGCTGGAGTAGCGTGTTGGGTCAAGTGCGGTGGAGGCTTTTCATACTGACAGTGCAGACTTCCATCTGTCATCTCAAAACTCAGGTTCCCATAACAACCCTGTCTTAAAACCTACCTACAGCAGCCAACGTACACCATTGCTGCAAGCCTCTGCGTTGCACTCCCAGGTCTCTCTAAGCTGCTGCCAGTTTCTTGGTTTTTTGCAGACTGTCGTTGCTGTGTCACTGGTCTCCCTGTCTGATTAGGTTCCAGTCCAAATTGTCCTTGTTTAGAATAGTCAGCATGAATTTATTCTAATCTGTTTAGTCTTACAAAGTGCCTTATCTCTCTAGTCTGTATTATGGGAGAAGAATTTTCTTGGGGCTTTTCTGCTAGCAGCTTTCATCTGCTCTAAGCCCTTGCCCCCTCTGGAAGTCCGTTTCTTCTGCAGCTTCAGCTGCAACATCACCTTTGTTCTTCTGTCTGACTGCAGGTATTCTTCCTTCTTCAGGCCTACTTCCCGACACAACACCAGAAAAACATGGAAGGATGATGGAATGAATTCGTTGGAGTTCAAGCTCCTCTCCAGGACAGAGCATCCTCTTTATACCAACATCACTGTGGACATTGGTTATGTTCCCCCATTTTCTTAAGAGAATGAAAACGAAAGCAGAGTAGGCTCAGCATGGCAGCACGCATATGGGCATTCAGCCTCTACCTCCTGTTGTGGTGTGGAGTCTGCACCACCTGAAACTAACCCTTTTGTCTTTCACTTTCCTCCTGACTGTTTAAGATTCAGAAGAAAAGGCTTCAGGAATAGGGTACGATAGCTAATAAACAGGCTGTGGCTTACTGTAAAACTAACTGAGTCAGACCCACCTCCCAGCCCTCAGACCTTGGGATCAAGGTCTCCATGACAGTAAGCTGACCCAAGTTTTCTGGAACCTTTGTTCCATAGGTGGATAGCTCTGTCCTGCTTCTTACTTAAGTGTTAATTGGGATGCAAGCCATTCTGTCAGACAGGCCTCTGAAGTACTGTATTTTGAGAAAGTGTTGAAGCCAGTTACAGTTTTGTAAATATCTTTTGTGAATTTGAATAAAATAAATTGAGTTATGTGTTTGGGTTGAGATTTTCTAGACTATTTAATAAGTGCAATAAAGGAGAGAGTTGCCCTGATACCAGATACAACCAGAGCTTAAGTCCTTGGGGTTTTTCTGGCTTGATCCATCAGTGTTTAAATGTTTTTATTGTAGCTGTAAGTAATGCAGGCTGAACAGGACCTGAGGCTGTCACCTAGTCTAACCTCCTGCTCAGACTAGGGAAATTAATCTAGTATTTCAGCTGTTGCTCAAACATTAATTATCTTTCAAGGTTGATCTGCCTTCAACATAAAATACTTCTGAGAAATTAAATACAAGAGAAAAAAAAACTTAAGTCA